GTCGTTGGCTTGTTCGCTGAGCTGGGCAATTTGATTGCAAACGTTTCATCACCAATCGAAGTGGCATCATCAGTGCGTTATTTTGGAGCGTAGTAGTGCGTAGCGGTGGGTTGGTGGTTGTGCGTGTGTTAATATACATGCTGCAAGCGGGGAATGACCTTTGATCGCGACTTGTTGTTCGGTCGGGCGATTCCATTGGTTGCTCCGATGTCCTGTGTCCCCATTCCCCGATGCCCAGCGACCTTTGTCTTTTCCAGTCTCGGGTTGTGACCTTTATTGATTTGCCTCCAAGGAGTTCCTTGCTTCGTTCTTTGAGTTCAATATTCGGTCCTCCTTGAGTTTTGCGGTTGAGATGTTGGTCTTTTGCACGTCGGACAAACTGGGAGGAGACTATGCACACGAATAAAGGAACACAACGCGGCCGTCAGGAGGCATGACCCCCTGTCCTTGATATCCATACACGAGGACCAAGAAGGCCACAAATTCAACTTGGAAAACGCAAAAATTTTGGCATACGGAAGCACGAGACACGGAAGAGAATTTCTGGAAGCATGGTACTCCACGGCAAATTCGATCAACCGGTGCATCGAACTGGACCCAATTTACGTGCAAAAGACCAACATCTCAACCGGAAATCTCAAAAGGAACCGAATATTGGACTCAAACAACGGAACAAGGAGCTCCTTGGAGGCAAATCAATAAAGGTTACAACCCGGGACTGGAAAGGTTAAAGGTCACTCTAGCATCGACCAGATTACGACGGCAGGGGATGCCAAGCTCAAAGGTCACGTGGGTATCGGCGAATGGGGACACAGGACAACGGAGCAACCAATGAAATCGCCCGACCGAACAACTAGTCGCGATCAAAGGTCATTCCCTGCTTGCAGCATGTATATTAACACACGCACAACCACCAACCAATCTCTACGCACTACTACGCTCAAATATAATTGTATATATAATCCACATGCAGTGCATGTAGTGATGGGTTGGGGATAGGCTGAAATGTCTGAGCACAACTGCTATGGGTCAATGCTAGGTCTGTAAAGGACTTCAGTTGTTAAATAACAGCGACTGGAGTGAGTCAAACTCGCAAGGAGAAGAAGCGTCTGAGGTGCCGTCTCTACCAAACCTGGATATCAGTGGGATCAGCAACCCCAATGATACCAAACCCCGAGAAGTTGAAAACTGAAGCAAAATACGCAGATGCCCTGTCCCTCAAATGCCGAGAAGGAATGGACGCGTAAACAAACGAATAGGTAATAAGGGTTCAAAAAGTGTGGAGAGGCTTCTGACAATGAACCCAATTCAAATGCTAATGGTGATGGTGAACCAGGTGCATAAGAACCCACTATGGTTTCACTAACCAAAAACAATCGTTATCCCTGCTGTCCGGTCCTCGCGGCAGCTGGAACCAAAACACTCACCAAGAAACTTACTCCGAGCCACACACGACTGCACATAATTTACCATTTTCTCCAGTGGATTTACTGCTTGTCTGTCAGCGCCGCTTGCGAGTTGCACGCTTGACTTCCACAGCGAGCTAGACGTTGTCGTCGTTTAGATAGTTGGAGAACAACGGTACTGGTTGTCATGGAGCGCTAGAGAATTCGATACGCCCACCCCACCCCAATTTCAAGCGTGAGTGTTTGGTGGGTGAAAACGAGGTGGTTCGTGTCCCTACTCACACGTAACTTTGTGTCCATACTTGGACCTTGCACCTTCAAGATTTACGGTATCCTCCACTACATACCGGTCAACAAAACAAGAAAGACACACGAAAGAAAACTCACCTGCTGTCGCACTTCATTCAGAATGTCTAGATAAGGTGTTCCGGGTTTCACCATGATTATGTCTGCGCCTTCCTGGGCGTCACGAAGCTGCAGAAAGAAAGCAAAAAAGCCGCTCAGCTGTAACACCCTTTTGGCACTTAGCGCAGTTCGAATGAAGCACGAGGGCTCGGATACTGCCAGGTTGCCCCACCCTAGACAGGGGTAGTCGAGAGATAGGGGTCGGGTTCGAACCACGAAAGAAAGAAAAATTATCCATATACTAAGAATTTCCATATGAACTGATGCCCTGAACGGGAAAGTCGGACGAACACTTCCGTGCATACCGCTCATGACTTACGGGAAAGCACCCTGTTATTGCAGTCATCACGTAGCTTCATTCCCGGGTGGCTATGA